CATTTCTGACACAACCTTGGCTTGAATCCTCGGATCCCTGAAACATTCTGTGGTAATACAGACGTGTAACTTGTTCCTTTTTCTCTGAATTCCATTTAAAAAAAGAAGAAAAGGCTGCATGTTATATGAAATGCTTATGAACACAGGTAAATCTATAGTGACAGAAAGTAGATTAGTGGTTGCCAGGGGCTAGAGGATGGGGTGAATGAAGAGTGACTGCTAATGGGTATGGGTTTCTTTCTGTTTTTAGTTTTTAGAGACAGAGTCTCTCTATGTTGCCCAGGCTGGAGTGTGGTAGCTATTCACAGGTGTGATCATAGTAGCACATTGCAGCCTTAAATTCCTGGGCTCAAGCAAAGCTCCCACCTCAGCCTCCCAAGTAGGGGATTACAGGTGTACACCACCATGCCTGGCTAATTAAAAAAAGGTTTTTTTTTTTTTTGTGGAGACAAGGGTCTCGCTGTGTTGCTCAGGCTGGTCTGGAACTCTTGACCCCAAGCGATCCCCCCACCTTGGCCTCCCAAAGTGCTGGAATTATAGGTGTGAACCACCGCACTCAGCAAGATATGGGTTTTCTCTTTGGGATGATGAAATGTTCTGGAATTAGACGGTGGTGAAGACTGCATAACTTTGTGTGAATATACTAAAATCTATTGAAATGTATATTTAATTTACTTTTTAATATTATTATTATTATTATTTTTTGAGACAGAGTCTGGCTCTGTTGCCCTGGCATCAGCTTAGCTCACAGCAATCTCAAAGTCCTGAGCTCAAGTGATCCTTCTGCCTCAGCCTTCTGAGTAACTGAGACTACAGGCATGTGCTGCCATGCCCAGCTAATTTTTTTTTCTATATATTTTTAGTTGGCCAATTAATTTCTTTCTATTTTTTAGTAGAGAAAGGGTCTCGCTCTTGCTCAGGCTGCTTTCGAACTCCTGACCTTGAGCGATCCTTCCGCTTTGGCCTCCCAGAGTGCTAGGATTACAGGCATCAGCCACCATGCCTGGCTGAAATGTATATTTTAGAAGGGTAAATATTATGGCATGTGTACTAGATCTCAACAAGAAGGAAGGAAGGAAGGAAGGAGAGGAAGAAGAAGAAGGACGAGGATGGAGGGAGAAGGAAGGAAGGAAGGAAAGAAAAAGAAAGGGAGAGAAACGCCTCCTTTATAGCTGATCTTCACTAGTAACAAGCTGTGTGCAAAGTTCGGGGAGATGGAGGGAGTTTACTTTGTAGAAATTCAACACATTCAAGTTGAATATTAGACTTCCCTGTTATTAGAAGTCATTTTGGCTCCTGCACCAGCGGCTGGCACCTTCACCCCACTCGGCCCCTGGCCTCCGGCCCATTGCTGGTTCTCTTCACCCTCCCCCTCCCCCTCTTTATTTTCTCCTTCCCGATTGCTGATTGCTCACTGTAGATGTTTTTGTAAAGCGTTTAGCTGAGCAAAAGCATCATTGGCACAGGACCCGAGGTTTCCTTTTCTTAATTATCTCAAAATATTAATGGGGTCCAAATATTTTAGGTTACATGGATCATTTTTGTAATGCTTGAGTCCTGGGCTATAGGTGTTCCCGTCACCCAATTAGTGTTTATAGTACCCCTTAGTTTGGTATATTCATCCCTCCCCTGTCCACCCCCTCAGGTTTCCTTTAATGGAACCAACTCTCTTCAGGATTTAAGAAGCAGTTTCCCCCACTCTGTTACACTCTCTCCTGAAGGTGGCCACCGCTTACTGCCATTGTCTGCCCAGACTGAGTGTCGTGGAAACAGGGAAATGGGTCTGGTTGTAAAAGTCAGCCCCTGGTACATTGCAAGGGGTTCAGTAAATATTTCTGGGATGAATGGATGGGATTGTTTAGACCCCGCTTGAAGCCCACCTTCCTTTCTCTCTCCTTCCAGGGGATAGTTACGAGAAAGGATTAGAAGGCCCAGAAACTTCTAATGGGGTCAGCTATGGAAGAATACCTGGCTAGAATGGTTGTATTGTCCAAGGAGAGGGAAGCTAGAGGTTCTTGGCGGACCCCAGGTTGGGGGTGGATGTGGGCCCAGAAGGGAGGAGGCAGTGATGACCTTAAGGTTCCATGTCTTGGTCCCTCCATGGGCCTGGCACAGCCAGGCTGGCTGTGGCTGCTCCTGGAGATCTTATCGGACCATGGCTGATACGTGGTACTGAGTCATGGGACCTGCAGCCTAGGAAAGAGTTCTGATGTTGAAACAGGCCCAGGGGAGGGGGCAGGGTTGGTATCTCTGACTTGCCACCAGCATAGACATCATCACCACCTACACTTCCTGTCACCCTAGGTCACCTTGATAGTCATCACTCATCTCTCAGCCTGTCACTCATTTGTCACCTTCACTGTCATCCCTGTATCACAACCACTTTCTTATCCAGGCTGTCACTTGACCCAGTTCCCAGTACTGTGTTACCTTCTCCAGCACTGCCACCATCCCTGCTCGCACCCCAGGCCCCAGGCTGTTGTCATCTGAACCAACCTTGTCTTCATCAACCTTCTCCACCCCAGCCCTGTCACTTGCTAGTCCCATTCCCATCCCTCCTGTCACCTTGACTGTCCCCATCTGTCCCTGTCACCTCATCATCTTTGCTGCTATGCCCCATCCTGGTCATATATGCCCTAACATAGTCTTCCACTGTTACAACCTGACTGAGACACTGGACCATCAAGACTTCCCTTTCCCTCTGTTGGTTCCCCATCACTGCCCATCTTCGCCTCTTCCCTGTCACCATCATCAACATCCTCCTTCTCTCCAGCCCCTCACCTAGGTCCCTAAATAGGCTTTCCCCTCTGGTGCTTTCCTCCTCAGCACATGCTCAACATGTACCCACCTTTAGGATTTTGCCCCTGGGTCTCCAGCCTCCAGCCTCCCCTGGGCTTCCCCAGCTGGACTTGCCATGCTCCTTACCTTTTCTCTCTGCCCTGGCCACAGGCGCTTCATTTTGGCCCCTCGGTTGGCTAGGACCTGAGGCCAGCACTTATTCCCAGGTATTGAAAGAATATTAGGTAGAGGTCTTGCCAGGAAGCCCTGAATCTTCTCTGCGTACACCTATGACACCTGGCAGTTGCCTCTGCTCAGCCTGCCCCTAAGATCCTCATTCATTAAGTTGACTATTATTTCCCTTTTTAGAATTCCCCAATGTCCCCACAGACTATTATTCAACCTGGTGACAGCCCCCTAGTACCTTGACTACCCATTATTTGTGTAATCGTATGTTTAAGGCCATCTTACCCAGCAGACAGGGCACTCTGGGAGGGCATTAACTGTATCTGTCTTGGTCACTGCCAGGTCCCCAGAACCTAGTGTAGTGCCTGGCTCTGGTAAGGGCTCAATAAACATCTGTTGAGTGAAGAAAAACCATCTATTGGGTCGGTAAATGTGCTGGGCACTGTGCTAAGTACCCATATTAACTTGTTCCTTCCCTGTTCTATTTTTGGCATCTCTTTCTATTTTATTTGCTTTTGAGCATTTCAAGAGCTTTTGACACAAACACTTCTGGCAAAGTTCAAGCAGAGAGAAGTACATTTCCAGTTAGTTACTCATCAGAAAGTGAGGACACAGGGAAAGCCAGTTACTCACAGAACAAGGAAAGCACTTTCTTATAAATCTTGAGAATCTCAGCAAGTAATGTCACCTCTTGATTTCATCTTTCTGTTCTCCAAGGGAGGCTGCTGAAGCTGGTGACTAAGAAGATCGGGTGAGGGGTCCCTGAAGAAGACCCTTTCTTCTCATGTCTGGAAAGCAAAGACTAGATCCTCCCTCATACATAAAACTGATGAGTTTGAGAGGTAAATATATAAAGGATTAAAATAAACATGGATATTTCTGTATTGGGGTTTTTTTTTGTTTTTTTTTTTTGAGACAGAGTCTCACTCTGTCACCTGGGTTAGTAAACCTGGATATTTCTCATATTCTTTGTCACAGTTGTTTCATTTCTGAGAATTCATCCTTTGGAAAATAATTGGAAACATAGACATAGCCTTTGCCCAAAGATCTTCATGGCAATGTTACTTATAATAATGAAACATTGAAATATAAGTGTATATTTATGAAAGAAAAAGTGAAAGTAAAATTCAAATGTTTGAAACAAACTAACTACCCAGTGATAGAAGATAGATAAAGAATGGTTTGCCTCTTAGTTTTGAAAATCTATTAAAAATCATGGTTCTGAAGAGTTGATAATTATTCTATAATCATGGCATTGGGTGAAAAGGGCATTATACAAACAGGCTTGTATAGAATTATTTTCCATTATGTCAACAGAGTACTTAGAAGGATTAATGGATGAAAAACAGTGAAAGCATTAATAGGCACTATGTTATTTCTGAATTGTGAGCAATTTATTTTTACTTCTTGTAGTGTCACATTTTCTTTGATGGGCATTACTACATTTACAATAAAAGCTGTGCATTTATAAAAAAGAGGCAAAAGTAATGTTTTATGTGAAAGTGTCAGTGTTTTATAATCCTATATTATTTTTTTATTTACTAGATTGTAAATTCTGTGAGGCCAGGATTCTTGCCTATTTCTCAGCACCAGACTTTGTAGATGTTGAATGAAAGGTGTTTAGTAAAGTACAATGGAGTTAATTAAATGAGCTTTTTTTGATGTATCTCTTTCTTCTTTTTACTTTAATTCTCCAGAGTAACCCTCCCTACACAGAAAGCAAGTTTTACAAAAGCAAAAGAATCCCACACAGGTGATGGCCTTTTTTTTTTTTTTTTTTTTTTTAGTGGAGACTCAGTCTGCTCTCTGGGCTAGAGTGTAGTAGTAACATGATAGTTTATTGCAACCTCAAACTCCTGGGTTCAAGTGATCCTCCTGCCTCAGCCTCCCTAGTAGCTGGGACACAGATGTGTCCCACCACGCTTGGCCAATTTATCTATTTTTTTGTAGAGATGGGAGTCTGGCTATGTTGCTCAGGCTGGTCTCCAACTCCTGGCCTGAAGTGATCCTCCCGCCTCCGATTCCCAAAATGCTGGGATTATAGGCGTGAGCCACCTTGATTCAAGATGTGCTGTGAATTTGAGAAAATCTTATTAGAAATATGAACATAAGACCCTATTATGTACTCAGCCTGCTCCTCCTCCTTTGTTCCCATCTCAGAGAGGGGCACCACCCCACCAGAAACCTGGGAGCTACCCTACGCTTTGGCTTCCATGCTGCTGTATCCCCACAGTCAGCCGTGCGCCTCGGCCTCCAGCCCAGCCCCTTTTTCCATCCCGATGTGACTCCCTTTGTTTCCATCACAACCATCTCTTGCCTTTATGACTCCAGTGCCTCCTAACCAGTTTCTCTGCTCCACTCTTGCACTTCCCATGCCAAATCCCTGCCTTCTGAGCCACAGTCATGCTTTTGAGCTTTCTAATATACTAATCTGCCCCTGCCACTCCCCTGATTACAGACCTTCGGTGGCTTCCCTTCACTCTCAGGAGCAAGCACAAGACAGTTCATGATCCAGCCCAGGCTGAGCTCTCCAGTGTCATGGTGCTCCCAGCCTGCTCTGGCCACACATCTCCCAGGCTCCCTCTTCTCGGGGGAACTATCCAGCCCCTTTGTCTGACTCATCCTCACCTCTGCTGTTAAAGTGAATGTCCCTTGATGTTCCCCAGCCCCACACCTGGTTTGGTGCTCCCCTCTCAATTCCCATAGGCCCCTGTGTTTATTACCTCTAATATCTGCATTGTGACTTCTTGTTTACTCACCAGCTTCCCCACATGCCTTGAAAGTCCTCCAGGGCTGGGACTGTGACTTGCTTTCCAGTGTACATCCAGCAGCTAGCACTGGGGAGGGCTTCCATGGCATTTGGATAAATGAGTAATGAATAAATGAAGCGCCCTTGTAGGAACTGATTAACACTGCTTAATTTTTTTTTTTTTTTTGGGACACGAGTTCTCACTTCTTGTTGCCCAGGCTAGAAGTGCCCGTGGTGTCAGGCCTAGCTCACAGCAACCTGCACAACTCCTGGGCTCAGGCAATCCTTTCTGCCTCAGCCTCCTCTGAGTAAGGCTGGCGACTTCAGGCATGTGCCACCATCCCGCTTAATTTTTCTAATATTTTTAGTTGGCCAAAGTTTATTTATTTCTTATTTTTTCAGTTATGAGCAGGGTCTCACTCTCTTGTCAGGGCTTGGTTTTGGAACTCCTGACCCTTGAAGCCAATCTGCCCTCCTCAGGCCTCCCAGATAGCTAGGATTACAGGCGTGAGCCACCGCGCCCAACCAACATTGCTTAAGATGCTAAGAAGTAGACATTCAGTGTTGTGTGTTTTTTTTGGTGGCACGCCTGTATACTACACTCGGGATGGTGTAATATGTGCTGCGGATGCTCAAGGTCAGAGTTCAAAAACATTCCTGAGCGAGGACCCCGTCTCTGAACCAGTAAACAATAGTTAGAATTAATTGGCCAACTGGTAATATATATATATATATATATATATATATATATATCAGGCCAAGGCATGGTGGCTTGTGCCTGTAGTTCCCAGCCTTACTTGGGAGGCTGAGGGCAAGGAGGATCGCTTGAGCCAGGAGTTTGAGGTTGCTGTGAGCGAGGCTGACGCCACGGCACTCACTCTTAGTCTAGGCAAGAAAGAGAGACTCTGTCTCAAAAAAAAAAAAAAAAAAGAAGTAGACATTCAGAAAAAGATGTCCTAAAAGGACCCATAAATTCTCCAAAGGAGTTGAAGTTGTCTTCTAATCTAAGAAACAGTGTAGATTTGATAGGCAGGAATTTGGGAGTGAATATGTAGATAGGAACAGCGGTATGCGAAGGGGAGGAGGCAGTGGGAGCGATCCTCCTCATCTGTGTATTTTACCACTGACATTGTTTAGAATTGTTTATTGCCAATGGTGACAATAAGAAACAGATCGACTTTTGGGGTTTTTGTTTGTTTGTTTTTTGAGACAGGGTCTCACTTTGTTCCCTGGGCTAGAGTGCAGTGTCATCATCATAGCTCAGTGCAACCTAAAACTCCTGGGCTCAAGCAATCCTTCTGCCTCAGCCTCCTGAGTAGCTGGGACTACAGGTGCATGCCACCACGCCTAGCTAATTAAAAAAAATTTTTTTTTTTTGGAGAGATGGGGGTCTTGCTATATTGCTCAGGCTAGTCTTGAACTCCTGGCCTCAAGTGATCCCCCCACCTTGGCCTCCCAAAATGCTAGGATTACAGGTGTGAGTCACTGCACCCAGCCCAGTTTCATTATTTTTAAGTTCACTTCCAATGCTGTACCCCCTATTGGTTGCCCATGGGGAGGACTGCCCCCATTCCCACCTCCATTTAGTATGCCACAGGTAAGGATTACTGGGTGAGCTTGTCTGTTTTCCTCCCCTCAGAACTGAGCTGGGAGTGATTTTGCAGGTATCCAACCTCCCAAAACTCTGCAGGGTAAGGGTGTCCCTCCCTGTGACTCCTCTTGCTCCCTCCATCTCTCTCAGGGAAACCCTCTGAGTCTCATCGCTGGAGACTGTGGGAAGAAGGCCTTTCTGTGCAGGAATGGGAGCCTCTGCATAGGATCTAACCTGGGATCTAATCCTGTCCTTGCCACTAACCCACTCTGAGGCCTTGGGCTGGCTCTCAGGGCCTTACTCTGCTCACCTGTAAAATTGGGGTGTTATGTGAACTGGGCCTTGAGGTCTTTCATGGAAGGTCCCAAGCTGGGGAAGGAATGTCAGCCATGAGGATGAAGGGCAGTTACTCCCCCAGGCCTCCTCTTCCTGTGCTTCTCTCTGACCTGAGTGAGATATTATATCACAGGGGACTGGCTGGGTTGGGTGTGTCACCAGCAGGATGGAAGGCGAGTCTGGACAGGTGGATGGTGAAGCTTGGGCCCCAGGGTGGGGTGTGTGTGCATGTGTCCGGGAGAGGGGGGGAGATGGGGTGGATCCCAGGCAAAGGTCACGGACGGGAGAGGTGGCTCCAGCAGGCTTACTTGGTGACTACCTCCAGGAAATCCAGAGACAGACGCTGGGCTGGGCTAGGTCCTGGCTCTGCCATGGCCTGGGGAGGGGCTGGAGAGTGGAGAACAGCCCCTTGGTGAGGTCACTTTTAGGGTGGGAGCAAACATCCCTTTCTGGGAAGGAAAGGCAGTGTTATGAAAGCAAGAGCGATTCAGGGCTAGACGATAGGAAGGGCAGGTGATGGTGGATCAGGGAGAATGAGGTGTCTCCTTATTTGGGCTTCTTCTGAGAAGGGAAGGGAAGGGAAAAGTCATACCACCCAGACCCTCCATGGGAGAGAGGGCTGTCCTGGTAGAAGGCAGGGAGGATGAACAGGATGGCCTGGAGAACAGGGAAGTCTAGGCTCTCAGCCAGGGTGTGAGCAATTCACAGCTGAAGAGTAAACCCTGGGACACCTGAGGCTCAGGTCAGGCCAGCTCTGGACCTCAGTCTTTCCTCTGTGAAAAGGGGAGAATCTCCTTGGTCACTGCCTATTTAATAGAGCTCAAAGACAAAATATCACTGAAGACTAGGGAGTCTCCCTTATAAATGCATTCTGTAAGTCCTGAGGAGCGAGGAGAAAATACAGACGAAATCTGGGCTGAGTAGAGTGGTGAGGGAGAAGCCTAGACATGCTGGGGGGAGAGTGGAGCTTTAGGATGCAAGTAGATCTGACGGCCCCCACAACAACCAAGGACATTCTGACCCTGGCTTCACAGACATTTTGAGCCCCTGGATTAAGCCCCTCTCATTAGACCCCCATTTTCCTAATCCCATCTCTTTGCCCCAGGACCCCTTTGCAAAGTTCCTCAGTCCCTTCCTACTTCATTCCACACATATTTATTGAGTGCCTTCCATCTGCCAGGCATTTTCGAAGCCCTAGGGATTCTGTGGTGAGCAAGACTTGTTGATCCTCATGCTCCTTTTCCTTCCCAAGGAAAACAGGCAAGAAAATAAGTGAGGTAGCCCAGCCTTGAGTGGCTATGAAAGAAAGAAGCCCACATGGCTGTGGGAACCCACAGAAGGCACCGCGTCCAGTCTAGGAGAGGCAGAGTGGACAGAATGTGGCTATCGAGTCTTGAAGAGTGAGTTGGCATTTGCCAGGAAGTGCTGTGGGGGATGGCACAGGCACAGGAAGTGGTGTGCTGGAGCACAAGAAGCAAGTGCTTAATTTTCAGGAATTTTGCAGACTGCTTATTAAACAATGCAACTACTAAAAATTAAATTATATAAACATATAATTAGCTAAATTATTTTAAAAACAAAGCTAATATGTAATCAAAACTCATCACTTCCTAATTATTATTATATTCTATTATCTATGCTCTTTAATGTATTTACATTTATTGTATCTTTAAGCTGAAGAAAACTCTTATAATGGTATGCTTTGCTCATCTCTTTCCAACTCCTTGTTCAGCGACATCACGTTGGTAGTTGGAAGCAGGCCACGGTGGAAATAATTTGCATTGTTGAAATTGACAGACACTACAAATCAGGGCTTATTTTGTCAATTGCACAGACCAGGGCTTGACCTACTATAGCCAAAAGGTCAAATCCAGCTTGTAAGCTAAGAATGGCTTTTATATGTTTGAAAAAAAATCAAAAGAAGAATGTATCATGACATATAGACATATATAACATTCAAATTTCAGTGTCCACAATAAAGTTTTATTGGAACATAGACATGTTCATCCATTTACATATTATCTTATAGCTGCTTTTGTGCTACAATAGTAGAGTACTTGTGACAGAGACCATATGGCCCACAAAGCCTAAAATATTTACTATTTATCTGGCCCTTTACATCCCTGCTCTAGACTTAAGTGATGGAGAAAATGTTAATAATGCAGATTGATCTTAGAAGTATATTGTGTCTGTAGCCATTATATTGTGAATAGCACAAAACATTGAGGAAACATTCATCTAATGTTTGAAAACTATCATCCAATTCAGCAAAAAAGGTCACTTACATCATTGGCAAATGGGTGATGTTTCAACACATCTTCATTTTTTAATTTCTGTCTTATTCTTTAATGTAAATGAAAATATCAACCACCATTTATGCTGGAAGTACACTCATTAGTCAATGACATGAATGACTTTTCTGTTGAATTGGATAGTAATCAAGCATTTGTTCCTAGTCTGATTTTGTCAAATCCTATGATTTGCAACCATAGGTTGGCTGCAGATATAAGGGTTGGCAAAAATTAAAGAAAATATTCTATAGGGAGCAATTACAATAAAGACCACTGTATATTTTACTATTATCTGTAAATTATATGCTATTTTACAGTTTTATACCACTAAAATTTATAAATGCACATACATACATATGCATACATTTTTTATAAAGAGCCAGTTGTTATGCATTTACCAGCACACAATGGGTCGGAGAGTTCTAGGCAGACAGGGTTGAGGAGAGTCAGGGTGTTCAAGACAACATGAGAGGGGAAGTGATAAGGCTGGAACACTGGGACTGATGTGAGGGGCCTTGTGAACAAGGCTAAGGAGCAAGACACTGTGCTGAGGGCCGCTGGTAGCCAAGGAAGGATTGTGAGCCAAGGAGTGACCCCATTACATTTATGTTTAGAAGATCATGTTGACGGCCGTATAAGGATTGGATTGTTAGGGACAGGCTATAAGAGACTAAATTAGTGGAGGGAGGGAGAATAATAGTTGTAAACTCTTAAGAGAACTTAAACTATAGGCCAGGCTCTCTCCTCAACACTTCATGTGTATGTTGTTAACCCACTTAGTATTCACAACAACTTCATGAGGTGGATATTATCTCCTTTTTACAGATGAGGAAACTGAGGCACAGAGAGATTAAGTAACTAGCAAGCAGCAGAGCTGGGATTTGAACCCAGACAGTCTAGCTTCAGAGACCACATTCTTAACCACTATATGTCAACTTTTCAGATTAGAAAGGTGGAGAGAGTTAGATGGTGTTTCTTAATTTTAATTCATGTGCAAAGTAGACCATGTGTTTGCAGATAAGCCTGACACCCAGTAGGAGCTGAGGACATTCTTTACACTTAGCAAAACTTGACTCAGTGACTAACTGGGTGTGCTGCTGAGGCAGGGGAGGGGCCAGGTGGACTTTGGGGGAGAATACACTCAATTGGGCTGCTCTGACCTCCTGGTTCTCTTCTATGTTTGCACACTGCCCCTCTGTCTGTAGGAAGTTCCCAGACTTGGGGACAGACTGAGCAGGAGTACACAGGTGAGAGAGGGCAGGAAGGTACAAAGCCTGTCTGGGCCTAGGATGGGGCTCTCTGGTCAAGAGTGTGTGAGCTAAGAGGAGTGAGAGGTGTGAATTATCATCAACAGGAAGGGCTTCCACAGAGGGAGCTCAGTTAGGAGGCTTGGGGTTTGGATAGAGGAGAGGAGAGAGGATGGGTCCTGCTGCCACTCTGGCTTTTCCTTGAGGGCATCTGTATTTAAGAGCAGAAGTTTGATAGTAGCCCTTGAAGCACAGTGGCAGACAGCTCAGCAGCAGATATGTATTTTAAAGGAATAGAGGTGCCTTTCTGGCATGAGTTCTGCTGAAAATGTGAGCAGGAGATAATAAGGGTGGAGATAGAGGGTTGGGGGGCATGAGGCTGGTGGCAGGGCGGGCCACATGCAGGGTGTTGGTCCCCTGAGGCCACAACTGTCAACTTGGGGCTTCCTATCCTGCTGGCTCAGCAGGTCCCACAGGTTGGCAGGTGACTCACCCCTCAGCCTCAAATGGCCCTTGTTCTGGAAGGAGAAGGGGGTATGCAGAGTGTAGCACCTGTGTGTTTATCTATATGGATGCATGCATAGGTTGCATTACACGCCTGGCTCTGAGATGTGCACCTGTGTCTGACTATGTATATATACGAAGTCCCTGTGCACACTGCCCACATAGACTGTGTGCGAAGAGTGCATGTGGCACGAGGCAGAAGTGGTGTGGGTGAACACACAGCACTTCCCAGAGCACATGAGCATGGGCACAGGTGTCTCTCTGAAAGAGGGATGCAGCTTCAGAGCCTGGTAAGCCATCAGAGGAGGAGGCCTGGGTGGTGGTGGGTGGGGAGGGCTCCCTGATGACAGATCATCTTTTCCAAGAAGGGCTAGAGCAGCGGCAGAGCTGGGTGCCCTAAGCCTGTGGTGACGGCAGCAGCTTCCCTAAGCTTATCCCTAAGTCCCTGGCTGCAGGCCAGGGTGGTTTCCCCATCCTAATCTGGTGAGGGCATGCACACCCCACAGGCCACACAGGCAGGCCAGGAGCAGTGAGTGGCAGGTGGGCATTGAGTCAGAGGTTTCTCTTATCCCCTCTCTGGGTGGGAAGGACATAAGGATCCTGGTGGTGTCTGGTCTGCAGCGATACGGGGTGAGCACGTCAGACCCGGGCTGCACAAGCCCCTGGTGTTCGTGGTGCTGTATGCGTTGGCATGTGCTGTGTGCACACTCCATGATTAGGTGTGTTGGCCCCTGACCCAGCACCCAGGGCCTGCCTAGTGCTGCCTTCCCATCATGCTACATGATCTAGGAGATGCTTGAAGTGGGGCAAAGAGTCTGGGCCAGGAGCCAGGAAGCCCAGACTACTCTAAGCTCTCACTTTGTGACTCTGGAGATGGTCCTTTACCATCTCTGGGGCTCAGCTTTCCCATCATAAGATGATGGGGGGCAATATTCCCTGTGGGGCCGCCTCACAGGGCTCTTGGGTAACAGATTCTCATGGAGGTGTACGGAAAGTCAGGAAGCCTGGTGCTGGGGGTTTTGTATGGAAGATGGTGGTGTTCCCTGAGTTGTTCAGTTGAAGGACTCGGGGCTAAGATCAGGTAGTAATCTTCAGGGAACTTGTATTTCCCTGTAAGAGGTGTTCAAACCAAATGGAGTTGTGAGGCCTTTAGAGTTCTGGGGCTGAGCTTCAAAACAAATTATCAAAGTGACAGGCCAAGACCTGCCCTTGGTGAGGCTGGGAAATTCTCTCCACCCACTCCCGCCCCTAGGCCCCCACCCTGCTTGCTTGCAGAGGTAAACAGCAGTGAACTCCAGACTGAGGAGGGGAATCAGCTCACATCTTTCCTTCCTCCGCGCCCCCCCACCCCCAGCTTGCTTTCTCTCAGGTTCACACTTCCTGGGCTCAGAGTTTTCATCCTGGGGCTGTAGGCTTAGCCAGAGCAAACAGAGACAGCACTAAAGTCAACAAACAAAGCAACACAGGTGAGGTGGAAAAGAAAACTTGGAAGCCACAACTAAGGATCATGGGCTGGGCTGGATGGAGTCATGTGTCTCTCCTCAGAGCAGGACCCTGGGGCTAAGGCGGGCCCTGTCAGTCCCTTGTGGGGTGCTGGAGATGGGGGCTGGTGGGTGGTTTCTCCAAAGGATTCAGGCCAAAAGCGTCGCTTAGACCGCCAGCAGGGGGCGCTAGCGCCAGCCTAGCGTGTGCTGAGAAAAGGATGTAGCTGGGAGTCTGGGGCGTGGGGTCCCCCTTTCCCAACCTATCCTATCAAGGGCCTCAGCTGCTGCAGAAAGCAAGTGGGAAGCTAACTGCGGGCAGAGTTGTGGGTAGGAGCTGGCAGGGCAGGCGTAAATATGCTGGAACAGGAGCAGGAGTGAGGAGTCCCAGCCCTCTGTCACCCCCAGCTGCTCCCGCCCAGGGTTCAGGGTCTTGGAGCCACGAATTCCTGGGGATGCTGAAAACACCCTCCACTTCTGCCCCCCATAGGGAGACTCGCCCTCCCTGAAAAACTATTTCACTCCCAATCAGGGCCGGGGGAGCCCAATTCTCTCAACATACATTTATTGTGCATCAGCTTTGTTCCCAGTGAGGGACAAATCACTTGGGAATCTACATCTATGCCCCCAGTGGGCTCAGCAGGCAAGGGCTCCCCAGGAGTCTGCCTGCTAGAGGCCCTGTCACGCCTGGGTCCCCCAGTTGCTCAGAGAGCCTGCGGTCTGTTGACTGCGCGAGCGTTTGGAGGGTGCCTGGGGCAGCCTGGCTCCCAGACCCTGAGGGTGGACTAGGGGTTCATATCCAGAGAGCTGAGCTGCCAGGCTGCAATGGGAATAGCTGGGAGACCAGTCACTGGGCTGGAGCAGCTGAAGATGTGGGTGGAAGTCCCTGGACATCGGTCCCACTGTCTGTGGCATGAACACATTATACTCTAACCCCAGCCCTTCTGGGTTGGCCCTGGCTTCAGGCAAGAGTCCCTCAGGGCTGGAGATGGGTAGGAGGCATGAAGTACAGGGTTCCCCTTCCTCAA